GGGAGAGAGCTTTAGCCTCTTGTTGGGTGCACATCTGATCCTGAGCAAGGCTACGGGTAGAAAGTCCACCCAATTGCCATGAGTTTCCTGGCACAATTTGGCCAGCTATCATTTAAGAGTCCAGTTCATTCTTTCCGCCTTGCCGGAACTCTGTGGTCGGTAGGCAGTGTGCAGTTTCCATTGTATCTGCAGGGCTTTGCATACACCCTCCACTAACAAAGTGATAAAGGCTAGTCCATTATCCAATTTTTAAATACCTTATTCCATGTTTTGAACCATATTTTCCTAATGGGTAGTGTAATTACTTGAAATAAATAAAAAAACAAAAAAACAAAAAAGGGGGAAAAATAAAAAAATAAAAAACCGAGGAAAAAAACTCCAGGACTTGTACCTAAGCCCAGTTTTGGGTCAGTTATCTCAGCTATCAGTTTGCAGAGAGTTATTTGTTTTTCAGGCTTTTAATTAGTAAAGTCCCAAGAGCGAGACGGGTGTGCATCTACCCACGCTGACGCATGCACAGTTCTGCTTGCACCTGGCTTTAGAGCTACTAAAATTGGTGGTAATTTCAATTCTGCCCCTTTAGGCATGAAGGCTATTTGAGCTTGAATTTTAGATAGAAAATCACGTCCCAAAAGGGGAATTGGACATTCTGGTACATAAAGAAACTGGTGAGTGAAGGTCCTCCCTCCAATCTGGCACTCTTGGGGTTGCAGAAAGGGTTTTATTGCTGGCTCAGACTAGTTTGAACAGGTCTAGGCTGGTTTGAACCGGTCCAAGCCGGGTGGTACAGGTCCAAACCGGTTGGAACTGGTTTAGACAGGTTGGAACCGGTCCAATCCAGTTTGAACCAGCTGAAACCAGTTGGGAAAATTCCATGCAGGTTCCAACTTGCCCACACCAGTTTGAACTGCCCCAGACTGGTAGGAACTGGCTAAGACTGGTTGGAACAGGTCTAGGCTGGTTTGAACCGGTCCAAGTCGGTTGAAACAGGTCGAAGCCGGTTGGAACCGGTCTAGGCCAGTTGGAACCGGTCTAGGCAGGTTTACGCCAGTACAAGCCAGTTTAAACCGGTCTTGGCTGGTTTGAACAGGTTTAGGCCGGTTTTAAATGACCCAAGCTAGTTTAAGCAGTTCCAAGTAGGTTGGAACTGGCCTAGACGGGTTGGAGCAGGTCCAGACCAGTTGGAGCAGGTGCAGGTCATTTGAAACTGAATTTGACCAGTTCAAAACAGCCTAGACCAGTTCAAACCGGCTTCAACCAGCACAAATCGGCTTGGACTGGTTCAAACCAGTCTAGACCTCTTCCAACCAGTCTGAGCTGGTTCCAACCAGTCTGGGAAAGTTGGATCCCGCCTGGACCTTTCCCAACTGGTTTGGGCTGGTTCCAACTGGCTTGGGCTGGATCCAACTGGTATGAAATGATTCCTACAGGTCTGGGCTGGTTCCAAGCGACATAGACCTGTTCCAACTAGCCTGGACCTGTTGTAACCAGCTTGGGCCAGTTTCAAATGACCTGCACCTGCTCCAACTGGCCTGGACCTGCTCCAACCTGTCTGGGCCAGTTCCAACCCACTTGGAACTCTTCAAACCGGCCTAAACCGGTACAAAACTGCCTCGACCAATTCAAACCGGCTTGGACTGGCAGAAACCGGCCTAGACCGGTTCAAACTGGCCTAGACCGGTTCCAACCGGCTTGGATCTGTTTCAGCCGACTTGGTCTGGTTCAAACCAGTCTAGACCTGTTCCAACCAGTATGGGCCAGTTCCAAGTAGTCTGTGCAAGTTGGAACCCGCCTGGACCTTTTCCAACTGCTTTGGGATGGTTCCATACCTAATACAATGACCGCTCCCCGCTTAAAACGGGGGGCGCCCTTTGCCTGGACGCGTGCAGCCCCTAGATCTGGAGCGGCTCCAACAGCATAGGCTTGGCTTTGCCTTCCCTCAGGTGGGATACCTGGAGGTCTCCGCCTACCTCAGTCAGTTGTCCAATCCCACCTGGGGGAAGCGTTGCCAAGGAGACCAGGCCAGGTAGGGGAGGGATTACCTGCCCACACAATAGAGGGAGGATCTTACCTGGGAATCCTCACTTGGCTCCAGAGCTTCTCCCACCCTACCCACCCTCAGTTAATGTCTTATTTTGCAGGTTAACTTTTCTTCACAGGTTTTGCAGGTTAACTTTTCTTCACAGGTATGCGGGCGCTGCTACGTTAAGGTCGCGGTTAAAGGGCCGGAAAGGAATTTCCCTGCATTGGCAGGTTTCGCCTTTCCCGTAGCAAAACGTCACAACTTTGGCGGTATCAGGCCTTGGGCTGGGGACTGGGGAGGGAGAACACCCAATGCCTGAGCCAAGGTCTACCCACATTTGAAATTTAATAAAGTTGTGGCCAATTTAATCCCATAGCACGTAGTCTTGAGTCGTTATTCCACATGACGGGGGGACCGCGTGGGATCTGGGGACTCCGCCTGTCCACTCAAATAGTATTATACTCCATACCTAATACAAATAGTGGTGAGAGTAAACATCCTTGTTTAACTCCTCTTTGTATATTGAATTGATCTGAAACCCCCTCATTCACTCTGACCACAGCCTTCCCTTCTCTATACAATTCCCGGATTGCTTCCACAAAGTTCTCTCCTAATCCTCCCTCCTGCATAATACTCCATAAGAACTTATGTCTAATCGTGTCGAAGGCCTTAAAAGGTAAAGGTAAAGGTAGTACGGGCCAGTCTTGCCAGACTCTAGGGTTGTGCGCTCATCTCACTCTAGAGGCCGGGAGCCAGCGCTGTCCGCAGACACTTCCGGGTCACGTGGCCAGCGTGACAAGCTGCATCTGGCGAGCCAGCGCAGCACACGGAACGCCGTTTACCTTCCCGCTGGTAAGCGGTCCCTATTTATCTACTTGCACCCGGGGGTGCTTTCGAACTGCTAGGTTGGCAGGCGCTGGGACCGAACGACGGGAGCGCACCCCACCGCGGGGATTCGAACCGCCGACCATGTGATCGGCAAGTCCTAGGCACTGCGGTTTTAGATAGAAAATCACGTCCCAAAAGGGGAATTGGACATTCTGGTACATAAAGAAACTGGTGAGTGAAGCGTATGTAACCTGAAGCGCATGTAACCCGAGGAACCACCGTACGTTGGCTCCCAGTACGTTTCCGAGCACAATTCCAAGTGTTGGTGCTGACCTTTAAAACCCTAAACGGCCTCGGTCCAGTATATCTGAAGGAGCGTCTCCACCCCCATCGTTCTGCCCGGACACTGAGGTCCAGCTCCGAGGGCCTTCTGGCGGTTCCCTCACTGCGAGAGGCCAAGTTACAGGGAACCAGGCAGAGGGCTTTCTCGGTAGTGGCGCCCGTCCTGTGGAACGCCCTCCCATCAGATGTCAAAGCGATAAACAACTACCTGACATTCAGAAGACATCTGAAGGCAGCCCTGTTCAGGGAAGTTTTTAATATGTGACATTTTAGTGTATTTTTCATCTTTGTTGGAAGCCGCCCAGAGTGGCTGGGGAAACCCAGCCAGATGGGCGGGGTACAAATAATAAATTATTATTATTATTATTATTATAAAGCGACATCTGGTCCTTCCTTTTCAACAGAATCCCATGTCCTCAAGAGTAGCCCGTGTGGTGCTCTCCAAAGGCTGCCAGGCTCCAGCTCCTATCAGCCCCCAAAGTCTGGCACGATAGGAGTTGGATTCCAGCAACCTCTGGAGGACAAAAGGTTAGACACATCTTGCGATTGCATTACCTTGTGATTCGTGTCAAGAAGCAGCAAATTGGGTTGTCGGCCACTGGGGCCACATTAGCACCATCAATTTGAAGCACTATCGTGTCACTTTAAACAGCTCCAAAGAATCCTGGGAGCTGTAGCTTGCTAAGGACACGGAGAGTTATTGGGAGACTCCTGTTCCCCTCACAAAGCTACCATTCCCAGACCATCAATCCCTCTTCACAGGGAACTCTGAGAATTGTAGCTCTGGCAGGCTTCATTCGGACTCAGGGCTGATAACCTGGGGAGCAGAACTGGCAATTTTGTAAAGGAAGAAGCAGGCCAGACGTAAAGTGACTTCTAGTCCAGAATCTTCAGAGAGTCTGAGTGGAACAAGGAGGCAGAAGGAGCCGTAGCAGAAACTGAGGAGTGGATACAAAAACAAACAGAGAGATTCCCAAGCATAGAGGAACAAGGCCATCCCACCACCGTCCCCAGCAAGTAGCTAGAACCTTGTCCTCCATCCACACCCTCAGCTAAACACTGCAAGGTCCCAGGCTCATTCATCGCAGCTCCAAGGAACCTGGCCAGGTGAGAGGTTGCATGAGCTGCTTCTGAGACGTTGCAGGCTGTGGGCACGCTTTGCCACTCCCCAGCCACGCTTCCTTCTCACAAGAGGTCACAACACCTACAAGGCCACAAAGGACTGTTAAGCAACTAGGTTGTTCCACTCAGAGTAGACCCATTGGAATTCCTTCACTTGTTAGGCCACATTCGCACCATACATTGAAAGCACTACAATGCCACTTTAAACAGTCCTGACTTTCCCCAAAGGGTTCTGGGAGCTGTACCATGAAGGGTGCCATTAAGGAGGCCCCTCTCCCCTTCACAGAGCTATAATTCCCAGATGTCCCTGAGGAGAGGGATTGTTAAACCACTGTAGGAACTGTAGCTTTAGGAGGGGAATGGGGGTCTCCTGACAACTCTTGGCACTCTTAACAAACGACAGCTCCCAGAACCCTTTGGGGGAAGCCAGGACTGTTTAAAGTGGTATCATGGCACTTTATGATGTGGATGTGGGCTGAGAGAGCTAGCAGGGCAAAAGCAGGAGACACCCTTTCCTGGGAATGAGGCCTAAGAAGATGCCATCAGGCAGGGGAACCAGAAATAAGGATAGAAAACCAACGCACCATTGCCCAAGTGAAGTCCAAGCTTGACCCTGACACTTTTTCTTAGCTCTTTCAAATCAGGAAGTTGTCTTGTATCAAATCAGGCTGCTGGGGTATTTGTTATACACTGGCTGGCAGCAGCTCTCCAGGGTTTCAAACAGATGTCTTTCTCAGCTTTACCTGGGACTTTCAGCAGGCCAAGCAGGTAGTCTCCCTCTGGACTGTGGCCCTTTCCCCGCCTAGCCTGACGGTAGGCAAGTGTGGTGTGTACACCAGAAGAAGTGGTGTGGGCTGGTGGCTCTTGAGTCACCTTCCTCCAGCTTCCATTGATTATGTTTTCCATTCTTCCGCACCCTCTGTGCAGACACTTGGTTGTTGCTGGGTTGCCTGTTTTGAATTTTAAACTCTTAAATCTATTCCTTTTCCTCAGAGATACAAAAGAAGCCCCAATGCAAGTGGTAAAAGGATAATGCAGCTGCTAAATGGATCTCACTTCGACTAGGGGCAACCCATGTGGTGTGGTGCCCTCCATATCTTTTGGGTGAAGGTGCATTGCCCAGTCCAGTACCAGCAGCGTATTCAGGGCACCCCATTAGAGGGTGGAAGTCTCTGTCCAGAAGCCAAGCATGGGGCAGGCGGGCCTTAGAGCTTCCAGCAAATGGCCTTAGCATGGCCACCTCAGTAGCTTGGGGTCTCGGAGAGGCCAAAGTCCTTGGCATAACCCTGAAAATGTTTCAGCCCTCCGGCAGCAGGCTAGGACAAATAGACACCCGATGCCTGCGCCAAAATTCCACCTACTTCTGCAGTCAATAAAGCTGTGGCCATTTTTAATCCAGATTGTTGTCTGGTTGAGTTGATTTTATCACTCCTTGTTTTAGTCACTGCCTGGGGGAGAGTGGAGTTGCGACTGAGGCCACAATTGCCTCTTACTCAGACCAGACACAACCAGTGTGGTGGGGGGGGGGGCTCCACATACAGTATTTTGGAATTCAGCTCCCATCAGCTGAATCAGTGATCAAGGGTGATAGGAATTGTAGTCCTCAACATCTGGAGGCACTGCATTGCCAACCCCTATACTAGACGAACAAGGCAGCTTTGTGGGAGGGGAATTTATGTGTGTTTCTTTTTTAGGTGCTGAACTCCAAGGCAATACGGGCCGATTCCCTCCTTGGGGTCTCCAGGGTGCAATTTGGGCTGATATCTACAGAGAGGCAGAAATCAAGAGGTGCCTCCCTGCTGGTGCTGCTCAGTGGGCCTGAACTCAGGACTGGGCCTTGAGCTGCCCTGGGCTGGCCCCCAAGACAAGGGAAAGAGTCTTTTTCAGAAGTTCTGATCTCTCAGCCAAGCTTTTGACATTCATTCATTCATTCATTGTTTGTTTGTTGTTTTACCACTGGTAGCACTCAACATCTGGCAACATCCAACACTTAAACAGGCTCTATTTATGGCAGCTAATTACATTAGAGCAACAACTACTAAATGCAATGTTATATTAGGGTAACGTTTGCCTGTACAGGCATACATCAGTGAAAATGCCATACAAAAATGCATTATCATAGGGGAGAGTGCTTGCAAACATGTCTATATTTGTCAAAACTGCATTTAAGAATTAGGGGAAATTCACACTAAGAAAACCAAATTGCTGCAGAAATGTGAAGAACTGAATTTAAGATTGGAAAAAGGAGAAACTTAGAAAACCAGAATTTGTAAATCCCTAGTCCCAGCTCATACCTTGGGTTGGTTTCCTTGGAGTGAAGGCCACGGAAGGCTGATGGTGATTTCTGTGGTAGAAGGTTTATAAACACAGGCTGAGCATGTTCTGGAAGGTTTACAGCATTAATCTTCCAGCTGATCATCTCTTCCTCCTACTTTAGGTTCCTGGGGTGGGTCACCAAAGCCATAGCTTTGGATTCTTGCAGAGAGCAAGTCAGGCCTCTGTGTCTCTTCTGTAGCTCCAGCCCCCAGACGGCCATTCTCCTGTGTCCTTTTCCACACAGAAAAGGTCTTGAAGACGTCCCCTTTAGCCAGGGAGAGGGAGGGAGACACACCCTCTTCCACTGACCACCCAGAAGAGCCTCCAGAGATTTAGAGTTTCTGTGACAACACATTAGCATACATTACAATACAGATACTTAATAGACCTGCCTATGCTATTTCCTTAATAAAGAAGCATTTGACCATTTTAGCAATCTCCCCTATTCCTGTGGAACCCCATTTTAGTTATAAAATCACAGGATTGGAAGGGAACCCCACCTCCCGCAAAAAGGAAAAACCACCACAATTTAGTCTAACCACAAACTCTTTGCAATATTCTGAATTGCCCTGAAATTTCCCCACAGCTCAATTTTTCCTTTCCTTGACAATTCCTGTAACTCCTTCTGTTTTTCTCTCTCTGCAGATTGAGATCGAGCTTGTGTATGAATCTCCAGGTACTTTTGTCTTGAGCCAGTGGCGAGTTTGAGGGCTCTTGGGAGGCAGGGTGTCCAAGACCCTTCAGCCACTGTTCCCTTCCTCCGCCCTCCATTGGGCTTTGTGCTCCATCCTCACATCACAAGCTCCATGGATGTTTTTGGTGTCAGATCCTGTTAATTGTCCTACTGGTTGTTTTGTGCTAATATGCTTTTTATATTGTAGTGCATTATATTTGTATTACATATTACAGCTGTTGTGCTACTACTATATTTAAATTGCCTATTTTCTATGTATATTTGTGGGAAATGAAATGTAAACCGGCTATTGTAGGACATGGGATGGTATTACTACGCTATAGAGCCCGTCAGATTTGAGTATATGGTGATGGCAATTGAAGGCAATTGAGAGTGAGAGCTAGTGAGGCAATGTAAGCAATCGGATTAACCTTTTCACAAGGAGTGCCTCAAAGAATTGGAAAAGGAAGCCCTCATCAACAGGGCCAAAACCATTCATGGAAACTTGTGAAAAGTTTCAGCTCAGACCTCAGATTTAGGGCTTGACAGCTTATATTACCTACAGAGTAAGGAAAGAGGGACTCTGACCAGGTCACACAGTTTTATATTGACGTTTGACAAAAAGGAAGCATCCTTGTGATACTGTTGCTCATAGCAACTCCCCTGCGAGGACTTTTTAGTTAAGAGAAAAGGTGGGCAAGAGGTGAAATGACAGAGGTGTCTAAAATGATGCCTGGCCTGGAGAAAGTGGACAGAGAAATGTTTTTCTCCCTCTCTCATAACACCTGAACTCATGAACAACCAATGATGTTGGAAGATTCAGGACAGATAAAAGAAAGCCCTTCTTCACAAAGCAGTTAAACAGTTAAAATATTGAACTGTGGAACTCACTGCCACAGGAGGCAGTGATGGCCGCCATCGAGGATGGCGTTAGAAAAGGATGGAGGAAAAGGCTGTCCTTGGCAATCGATGGCTGCTGGCCATGATGACTATGCTCTGCCTCCATGGCTGGAGGCAGCAAGGCTTCTGAAGACCAGCTGCTGGAAACCCCGGGGGAGAGAGGGCTCTTGGGCTCGGGTCCCAAAGGGATCTGACAGGCCCTGGTGAGAACAGGATGCTGGCCAAGCCTGATCCAGCAGGATCTTCGAATGTTTTTCAAATGAATGTCTGTCCACAATTAGATGGCACTTCTGGATGGTGTGAATGTTGGCTCTTGTTCTTTTCCCTAGGTCATGCTCTGATGGGCAAATGGCTGAGCCTCTATGACCCAGCTAATCTCAATGCCGGACTAAGGGGCTATGTGAAAGTTCACCTCTGTGTCCTTGGAGCTGGAGATCAGGCGCCGGTAAAAATCTTTACATTACAACATCTTCACCACCTCAACAGAGGCTTGTCACGGGCATTCAAGTTCATGTGATGCCATTGGCAGCTATTAAAATGATGGGGTGCCTTGTTTGGATAATGGAATAAAGCATCATTTTTCAAGACTGGTAGGTCAGACGCCTGTGGGACGCGGGTGGCGCTGTGGGTAAATCCTCAGCCCCTAGGGCTTGCCGATTGCATGGTCGGCGGTTCGAATCCCCGCGGCGGGGTGAGCTCCCGTCTTTCGGTCCCAGCTCCTGCCCACCTAGCAGTTCGAAAGCACCCCTAAAGTGCAAGTAGATAAATAGGTACCGCTTTCTAGCGGGAAGGTAAACAGCGTTTCCGTGTGCTGCTCTGGTGCCGGCTCGCCAGAGCAGCTTCGTCACGCTGGCCACGTGACCCGGAAGTGTCTCCGGACAGCGCTGGCCCCCGGCCTCTTAAGTGAGATGGGCGCACAACCCTAGAGTCGGACACGACTGGCCTTCGGGCAGGGGTACCTTTACCTTTACCTAGGTCAGACGCCAACTTGCTAAATGGTTTAGTAGAGCAGGACAGGCTGACTAGACAAGCAGAACTCTTGGTGGCCTTGTACCAGCAGCCTAAATAGGAAGAACTTGGGATTTTAGCAGCAACATTTTTAAGAAGATAAATATTATCTATACCTGGGTCCTGCTACAGGATGCCAACATCAGCTCAGTTAGTTAGAGTGTGGTGTTGAGAACATCAAGGTTGCGGGTTCAGTAAGGGACAGCTGCATATTCCTGAACTAGATGATCCTCAGGATCCGTTCCAACTATGATTCCATGATTCTACTATGTGGGGTCCCCACCCAAATTCCTATGCCAGACTGGGATGGTGGACATGGAGTGTTAGACTTATTCCTGTGGGGAACAAGGTTCAAACTCCTATTTTGCCCTGAAGCTCAGTGGGTGAATGGGGTCCAGTTGCTCCATCTTGACCTTACCACCTGTCTCGATTTGCACCTGCCCCTACATTAAGAACTTCACAGGAAAGCTGCTTGGGGTTCCCCCACTATCTAAAGGGCCTTTCGGGTAGTAGCACTCCAGCCATGGAACACCCTCCCCAGAGAAGTTTGCCTGAAGCCTGTCTTTTGTTTGTTGTTGCTTTTCCTTCTCTCACCTTTTGCAGATAATTTTAATTGCTCTTGCAATTCTGTGGTCTTTAGCTTTATTTAAGTTTTATTTGTGCCTATATTTGAACTGTTGCAGACTTTTCCAGGAACATGAACAAGCAGCGGGAAAAGACCTATAATTAATTCATTACCTTACCTCATAAGGTTGTTTTGAAAACAGAACCATGAATTCTACTCTGAGTACCTGGCTAAATCGAAAAGGCCCACCTTACACCATTGCCTGCCCCCATGTGGCCCTCCTGTGTGGCTCACCACAGGAAGAAGCTACAGGACAGCAGGTCCCACATGCCAGATCTACTGTTTTCTTGGGAGACGGCATGCCTGTTAAACTGGGTTGAGTTTTCCACAGCTTTCCTTGCATAACTGTCGGCTGGTTCCAACATTGCATTTGTTCCTGCTACAGTGTTTGTGCTTCTTTTGCAGCTGCCACTGAAATGAACACAGAAAATGCCCTGTTTGAATCTGAAACTCCCTCCGTGTTCTGTAGAGATGGTCTGTGACAGCTTTCACCCACCTAGGGCCCTCCCGATATTTGAGACTGAAAAAGGATTATGGGGAAGGGAGCTCCCTGACAGAGCACCTGCTTTGCTTGCAGGAAGTCCTGCCCCCCCCCCCCGCATCTCCAGGTGGGGCAGGGAATGTCTCCCATCCAAAGTCTTGGGAGCCATTGCTGGTCAGTGTGGACAGCACTGTGCCAGGTAGGCCAATGGCCTGATCCATGACAAGGCAGCTTCCTGTGTTCCCATCCATCCCCACCAGCACAGCTGGGGCAGGCTGGGGCTGATGGGGGTTGTGAGCCAAAAACATCTAGAGGGCCACCAGCATCTGGGTCACAGGTTTATGTTGCGCCTTTCTCTTCTCCAAGGATGCAGCCCATTTGCCAGACAGTGGCAATTTGGAAGCCAACCTCCTGCAGGCAGCAGTAATGCCAGCAGTACGCAGAGCCATGCTCCAGCTCTTCGTATACCGAGCAGAAGATTTGTCTCCAAGTAAGTTTGCCCCCCCCTCTCCACACACACACACACACACACACACACACACACACACTATTACTTCTGTTTGGCCAGTGCTTTCTGGGCACAAGTTCGAGAAGTTTTTCGTTTGCCCGTCTGCTTTCCCCAGAAAACTCACTGTTTACTGCTGAATCTGGTGGCAGTTTTAGTCTTGCTTTAGGTGTTTTTGTTGTCTCAAGTGTTATTAACGGTTTTAAATTACCTTATGTGTAAATTGCCTTGAGAAGGAGGTTAATAAATCAATGGTGTGGGGGTGGGGTGGGGGGGTGTATGTATGGGGTATTTTTTTAAAAAAGACCTGATGAAAAATCAACAGCCTTTTTGATGGGTTATTCTTCTCTTTTTGGATGATGAATTATTCTTAATGTCAGTAGGAATTGGTGGTGTTTGTTTTTTCCTCTTCCTTCTCCCTTTCCCCCCTCTGCTATATTTGTAATAAAACACACACATAAGAGCACCTCTGTGCAAATAAATAAAAAGAGGGAAGAGAGAATCCCACTTTTTTTCCAGAGCAACTACAGTGGTGCCCCGCAAGACGAATGCCTCGCAAGACGAAAAAACCGCTAGACGAAGAGAATCGCGGAACGGATTTCTGCAGTTCAAAAGCACACCAGTGCAAGTAGATAAATACCCTTGTTGTTGTTTTTTGCTCTATAAGACGCACTTTTCCCCTCCTAAAAAGTATGGGGAAATGTGTCTTCATTTTATGGAGTGAATGCTATCGCTGAAGCCAGAAGAGCAAGAGGGATTGGTGCGCAGCGATCCCTCTTGCTCTTCTGGCTTCAGGGATAGCCACGCAAAGCCTCATGAGCGCAGTGGGAGCATTCCTCCCTCTTCACTCAAGAGGCTTTGCATTGCTTTCTTGTTTCTTGTTTTCCTCCTCTAAAAACTAGGTGCGTCTTATGGTTGGGTGTGTCTTATAGAGCGAAAAATACGGTAGGTGCTGCTGTGGCAGGAAGGTAAACAGCATTTCCGTGCGCTCTGGTTTCCGTCACGGTGTCCTGTCCGGTTTAGACATGCTGGCCACATGACCCGGAAAGCTGTCTGCGGACAAATGCTGGCTCCCTCAGCCTGAAAGCGAGATGAGCGCCACACCCCATAGTGGCCTTTGACTGGACTTAACCGTCAAGGGGGCCCTGACCTTTTACCTTTCCATAGCTCCCGGAGTTTACCAAACTATTTTTAAAGTCAGCAAAGACTGGGCCAATGGACTCTAGGGTTTTTGCATAAAGGTGCGGAAGAGCATGTGCAGAGTGCTTCCCCACCTAGTCACTCACAGCAACCAAAAGTGCCACCTGAGAGGCGAGGTTTCCTGGACACAAAGCACCTATCCCTCATTTTGGAAATTGATCACTGGCAATGAACAAAGAAGTGCAATGGTTATGGGAACTTGTGACTCTCCAAACATGGTTGGACTGCCACCTCCCATCAGCCAGCATGGCCAATAGGGACAAGGATGGGATTTGTTGTCCATCAACCAGGCTACCTGGCCATGCATAAAAAAAAAGATGGCAGAACTGAGAAGGAACAGGGGCAGTAAAGGCAAGTGATGGTCTGGTTCATTGATGGGGAACCTGCAGCATTTGAGATGAGATTCTACTTCCCATCAGCCGCAGCTGCCATGGTCAGTGGTCCCTAGGGGCAGTGAAGACAAGTGACGGTCTAGTTCAGAGGTGGAGAAACAGTAGCCCTCCAGCCAACATGGCCAGCGGTCAGAGCTGTGATGCAAGGTATAAAGGTAAAGGGACTCCTGACCATTAGGTCCAGTCGTGACCGACTCTGGGGTTGCGGCGCTCATCTCACTTTATTGGCCGAGGGAGCCGGCGTACAGCTTCTGGGTCATGTGGCCAGCATGACTAAGCCGCTTCTGGCAAACCAGAGCAACACACGGAAACACCGTTTACCTTCCCGCCGGAGCGGTACCTATTTATCTACTTGCACTTTGACGTGCTTTTGAACTGCTAGGTTAGCAGGAGCAGGGACTGAGCAACGGGAGCTCACCCCGTCGCAGGGATTCGAACCGCCGACCTTCTGATCGGCAAGTCCTAGGCTCTGTGGTTTAACCCGCAGCGCCACCCGCGTCCCATTGATGCAAGGTATTGGGGGCTGTAAAGGCAAGTGATAGTCTAATTCACGGCTCAGAAAATTACAGCTAGCTCTCCAGTTGCAGCTCATCCCAGCACTTAGATTCTTGCTGGGAACACCTTGAACCCTGGGTGCTGCATCCGAAGGCTAAAAGCTGTCGCTTTCCCTTTCCTTCTGCACAGGTGTCCTCAACGTCGGGCAGGACCGCAGCTCGTACCAGCCCATCGACACCGGAGCCGCTGCGCCCCTACCCAGACGTGGCTACCAAGGCCTCCCCACCTCCTCCTTATGGAGGCGTCCCTTGAACCGTCCAAAGAACACTGGGCCCTTTCCTTGCTGCGCTGGGGAACAAAACCGTCTTCGCCACTTAGTCCCAACCCCACTTCTTCCTCCCCACCAGAGGAAGCGTGGTTTCTAAAAACCAGTCTAGGAGGGGAGGAAAAAACTTTGGCAACAAAGCAGCCTGTGGCTTCGACTTGAGGGTTTTGTCATAGTTTCTGCTGCAAATCCAGAGCGCACCTTGGACAACGATGTTTTAAAGTCCCCCCCCCCCCGATCCCAGAAATGTCATATGTACAACTCTCTGCAATTTCCTTCTGCAATAGCAAAGTTCTCTGTATTTTTTCCAGCCACATTGATGCTGATCGATTCAGCCTCTCAAGGCTACCCTGGGAAGAGTAACCCCCCCCAATAAAATAGCCCCCCCCTCACTAAGAGACTCAGCAAGAGAGTTGTTAGCTGGAGATCTGTCTGCTTACAGGAGCCAGCTAATATTATTTCCAAAGAGCAATCCATGCCCTCGCCCGTTGCTGCAACTGTGCCATTTTTCTGCCGATGATTTGCTGCAGGCACACACCTTCTGATGACTGCTGTAGGTGTGCTGATCGTTTTTCTCTCTCAAAACACTTTTGTGCCTTAGAGAAAAACACACAGGCCTTCCTTTTCTTCCCCTGTTCTTTGTATGTATGATTGTTTTCCTAGAGAAAATTAAAGAACCCTTTTAATAAAATGTTTCAGTCTTGAGTTTGATCATGTGGCTTCTTTCTGCTAGGCTCGCTTCTTGGTTTGAGCTGTAACAGCTGAGGGATGGGGGGGAAAACCAGAAGTCATAGAAGAATCATAGAGTGGAAGGACCCTGGGGATCATCTAGTCCAACTCTCTGCAATGCAGGAATACGCAGTTGTCCCATACGGGGATTGAACCTGCAACCTTGGCATTATCAGCCCATGCTCTAACCAACTGAGCTGCTCAAAGGCCCATCTAGTCCAGCATCCCATGGTTGCAAACCAGATGCGGCAAGGAAAAACCCACAAGCAGGACACAAGCTCCAAAGCACTCGCCCCGTAATAATAAACCACAATAGCCAGTTGTCCCGCGTGAATTTGTCCAATCCTCTTCTAAAGCCATCCAAGTTGACCGTCCCTGTCTCCTGCAGGAGTGAGTTCCATAGTTTGTGCACTGCAATAATAATCATAATCATAATAAATTTTATTTATACCCCGCCCTCCCCGGCCAAGAGCCGGGCTCACAGTAAAAACACAATAGGGGGAAAGTGAAGGGGGGAAAACCAATTTAAAATACAGGATAAAATGCAATTTTAAAATGCAGCCTCGTTTTTAAAGTAGCCGATAAATCATGAATGACTTCCTTTCGTCTGTGTTGAATCGCATTCAGTTTCATTGGATGCCCCCGAGCTTAAAGCACTATGAGATCGCGCGGGGGGGTATCTTCTTCCGTTCTTTCCAGTGTTAGAAATCTGCAAGGTGCCTTTTTGTGACTGGCACAGTTCAGTTTGCGACCATGTGGGTGCCAGGTTGCCAAATGACATTCTCCATCCGGCCGGCAGGTAAGCCGAAGAGTTCATTTGCTGCAATTCTATCCCACCGTTTTTTCCATGTGGTTCACCCCAGTTTTCAGCTAATCCCTACAACGACCCTGCAAAGTAGGTTAGGTGGCTGGCTCAAGGTCACCCAGGTGAGCTTCATGACTCTGGGGGATTTGAACCCAGGGCCCACGTCCGACACTCTAACCACTACACCACTCTGGTTTCTAGAGTAATTTGTGCTATGGAGCCATGGGCACAGCTGGGGTGTGGGTGTATGCAGCTGCCCTCCTCCAAAAAAATCAAGTAAGTCAATAAAAATACTTACCTAACTGACCAATCGCTTCACAGAGAACTCAGTTCTCTCCCCACCCCCCCAAATCCTGATGTATGGGGCAGCTATATAAATTCAGTAAGTGAATAGTCAGTCAGTCAGTTTTATTGCACATAGCCAAAGGCTGCCGCAATGTACACAGGATCATTCAACAATTAAAAGAAAATATGCTGGATTAATACAAAAAACTTAAAACATTTATATTATCAAGACACTACTCTAAACAGAGCTATAAAAGTACCTTAATATACAGGTTAAGACATTAAACAATAAAATTTATAGGCTAAAATCACCACATGGCCACTAATATATTAAAAAATAATGTTAATACAATGTGCAATTATATTCGGAGTAGAAAGGGTCAAATAAATTCATCTCCTTTACAGTTGGTGGCTATCTTGGCTATATAATTTGCTCTAATTTTCCTAGCGATGGGAGACACAGAGGCATACCAACAAACGAACGTGTTTGCATTAGGGGATGTAGTAAGTGTTGTTTAGTCGTGTCCGACTCTTCGTGACCCCCTGGACCAGAGCCGCCAGGCACTCCTGTCTTCCACTGCCTCCCGCAGTTTGGTCAAACTCATGTTCGTAGCTTCGAGAACACTGTCCACCATCTCGTCCTCTGTGTCCCCTTCTCCTTGTGCCCTCCATCTTTCCCAACATCAGGGTCTTTTCCAGGGAGTCTTCTCTTCTCATGAGGTGGCCAAAGTATTGGAGCCTCAGCTTCAGGATCTGTCCTTCCAGTGAGCACTCAGGGCTGATTTCCTTCAGAATGGATGGTTTGATCTTCTTGCAGTCCATGGACTCTAAGAGT